GTAGTTTTGAGAGAAATGATCAGCGAATTTTAGAATAATGGAAGACCTAGTAAGATTGACTAGAAAACTACGATGAAAAGTGCGCATCAAATGTTTACCCCGTCTACTGCACTATACGTTTTCACAAAATCGCATAAGTCGATTACCTTCAAAATGTTCCTTWTAAAACTAGAYACAGAGTAAAACTAAATGAGCAATRACTTTTGTGAATATATAGCTCTGAAATATTAATTTCGGCCGTATGAAATCCATTGTTTAGTTTTGAAGTAGATTATGCAYTATATTTAAATAATCTCAAATATCTCGTAATCAGCTAGATAGATTTTTTCAAAAATCCCCACAAATGGAGGTATCCAGTATATAATTATGTGGTACGAAGCATTTTAGTGTTGAACGCTCTGCAAGGCTAAAATTATTTTCTAAACGAAAACAAATATTTCATCATAATCACGTGTTATGACGTCCGATCTCACTAAAAACTGCATCAAACATTAATTCAATCTTTATGTGACTTATGTGCAAAAAAGATTTGCAATCGGATAAAAGACGTTTATGCACCAGCGTTCCAAAAGTGGAAGGTAGCGGTCAAGCGTGAGGGGGCCCAGCCACCTTAAGACCCTCTACACTCCATCATCACTTTCCAATATAAAAGACGTAATAGAAATACTCATAAGGACGCAAAGAAAGCTAGGCACTGGCGAGACCAACCTCAGTGACAACTCCCACCTCACTGACATGACCAACCATCAATTTCTATTCCAGTATTAAGCGTGGCACACCCAATAGTGATCTTATGGAATAAATATACTTTAGAGATAACCCAGTCATTTGTTTTAGGAAGAAAATGAAGATGTAAGGAGATCGTCCAGGTATCGCTTGATAAACTTTAATAGAGCGGTAAGAAATTTTCAGAAGACTACAGATAGGCAAGTGAATTGCAGGCATGCAAATTACGAGCAGTTACTTAGCTCGACCATGTCTAACAAGTCTATGTCGGTGCATATTAAGTAATATAATGAATGACATGGCTAGCTAGAAAACCGTGAAATAAAAGAGATAGCCTTAATTGACGGCTCTGGCGTTATTCCTTCGTCGGAGACAAGGCACAATATCAGAAACCATATCTAGCAATTTTGAATCGAAATTTAAAAAATTTGCTTCTTTTAAACAATGGTTGAAAAAAGCTATATGGAATGTTATCTTTAATGTCATTTATTAATCAAATGTTTCATTACTATCATTATTATCGTTATTTACCAAGAATGATTGCTATAACGAATTGTCAAGGACTGTGTACGTAGTCTTGGCCATTACTGGATGGCTATTTGCTGCCTTCATGATGGTCGTATGCTGCCTAAAGTTTGGGTAAGATGTTATAAATGACGTGACGGTCATGCCTCGAACGTTAAGTTTGAAATCATTCCTAAGGAAATATAAGACATAGACATGACAGTCTTTGTGGTTGATATAGGTTTGTTTACTGGCCTTAGAACTGATGAAGTAAAATAATACTTATGACATTGTAAATTTACCGGGGAAAAAGCAATCTTCATAATTAGACTAATAAAAATAGCGTCCTGTATCCTCCAAATCGTGCATTCAGATTAGCTGCGCCAGCGGTTGCTATTTTATCTCTATCCGCGCTCCGAATATATTCTGACGCCATCCCATTGGATAACGGATTGTTAAGCAACAAAACAAATAGTAGAACAAAGTAGAAACGTAAATTGAGAGAACATTAAAATAAGTTATTTACCGTCCTAGTAAGGTACGGATAAGGAAAAAAACTGTGCCCTCGGCATTGAAAATCTTCCTTGTATATCAAGAGCTTGGGCCAATATTTTCTACCTTATCCGGAACTCCTGGGCGTTAAATAATTTCTGTTCATTCCACTAATTCCATTTATTCTCAGTCATATAATATCAGTCATAGAAGGAAGCAAACAAAGATATAGCACGGAAAATTTCAGAAAAGCCTAAAATACTTTAGCATTGACTAATAATTTATTCCATTTATTCCATAATTATTTATGAACGTAATAATTGTATGATTGTCTTGTGTTTATTTACCGAGTGCAGGTGGATCTGTCGCGGAAAGTGTGAGAATGAAGATACATCAGGGGCACATGTTTGCCGTTGCATACGTCACATGGAAGATCTTGAATCGGGACAAGAAAACCAAACCGAAAACAAACAGAATGAAGTGTCGATTTACGAAAAACATGATAGAAGACCAACCGGATACTGTCATGTAGAGACTATTCACGAAGAGGATTTAACGAGCCTTCCTTCATTGACCACACAAAAAGAGACAATAGAAAAAGAAGGTTTAACGAGCTGTCCTCCCCTACTTCCTCCAATGCCCAAAATCTTGGTATTTGAAAAAGAAGAAAAACATGTCTCCGCGAAAATGACTACCAAAAAGGTTACATTCAAGAGTGACGTGGATTGCGATATGGAAACATCACAGCGACGAGCTTCAGAGAAAGTGAAAGTTATCCGAAAGCTTTCGTCTTCCATTGGCAGACCATCACTACTCGATGAAATTGAAATTGCTAAAGAGGTCATCATGGATAGAAGAGCGTCCAACGATAAGGCACGTAGTTAGATAGAATAAAAGCTTTACAGAAAATGTATGCAATCAAGTTGATATTCAAGTACCTCCGATGATTTGCTGAGAGGTGTAAAGTTTGCAACTACTGTATTTAGTGCGGTGTACCATTTTACTGAAGTCAACACAATGAACCTACAATTTCTTGAATTTTAATGATTTCGCACGTGCTGTTTATTGTGCTTGTTCGTTCTCCCCTTAATCTCTTACTATCTCTCAGGTATCTTACAGTCCAACTACTAATTAAAAGTAAGGGGTGGGTTACTTTCGCTTATTATTTTATAATTCCAAAAGTCTATCAAAAAGTTTTAAATAGAAGTATCGTTGCTTCCTAAATGATATAGTTACTAATGGTTCAATTCGTTCCTCTCAAAGGGCCATGAAAGGAGAAAAGTCATCAAGAATGTGGCTGCTAACGAGAGGAGGGCATCACTTCTGGAAGAGGTAACATAATCTGTCTATATGACTATGACACATTTTTTTAATATAAATAAGCTTCCTTTGTGGCATTATATTCTTCAACCTTCGTAAAATTAATTCATTCATGGAACGATAGCCACAGGTTTATTATCCACTGGCTATCAAGTGCTGCCCTCGTAAATCAATCTGACTTTTGGCGAACTCGTGGACACTACCCTGTGCCCTTTCTGTGCATTTTGTTGACTTACCTTCGTAATTATACAGATCAAAGTAATTCGCTTGATTTAAATGCTCAATTTAACTGGTAAAAAGATGGGTAATCGACCGTATATTTTGCTTCCAATCTGTACTTTGTTTATTTCTTTGTTATTTTATTGAGTTTTAAAGCAAATCCTATAAATAAATCGATATTTCAGAATCGAACTTCACACTTGGTGTGATAGACGGCTCTGATCGCTTATCACTTGTTTTGCTCATTGTAAGGGTGACTTTCTGACCTTTCTCAATGAAGACCAAATTCCTCCAAAAGATGAAGTCTGGAGATTTTTTAAATATCTACTGAAGAATGCTTTTTCCCATGAATCTTTCGACCTACGAGTCTTCAAATTGATAAAAATGTCCCACATGAAACAACAGCAGTTCATTTCGTCATGCAAATAGCAAAAGTAGTCTATCTGAATATAAGAGCTTTGTACTTGTTAGTGTCGTGTAACGTTCGTAAGCAGATGACATAATACGATCGATAAACGTTTAATTATCGATTTGCTAATATCTTAGTGAGTGAGTGAGTGACACATTTGCATATTCAGATCCTTCACACTGAATAACTCGTTTCTACGATTCGCGTATCCACGAGTTAAAAAATGATAAATAATGTACGCCGGCAGCTTTCAATCGGCTTTGTTGAACGTTTGTAATGTCAAGAACGTTTTTGTACTCTAGTTTTTATCTAACGATTGAAAAAATTCCATGAAAGTCATGTAATTTTTGCTTGAACTGTCTTTATAGATTCAGTTTGCCAAGAATGTGATTTTACCATCAAACGATGACAAAGAAAGGAATGAAAATGCTTTCCACCGACGTCATTTGATCAAGGAACGATCATCTAGTCATAGAACCTCTTTGTTGGATAATATCACCATGGCGATGGAAGTGCTACTTGGTGCCATCGAAACATCTGTTTGAGGTACTCAATCTTTGTTTCCGTGTTTTGAACATTATAGCTTCACATTAAATAAGACGTCTTAAGCTTCGAGCTATAAAAATGAAAATTCCAAAAAAATATTGAACCGATTTGTTCATTTTCAATAATTATGAAAGCCAGAAATGTGCATCAATTAGGCTTCGTTTTACATGCACTTTCAACTCAAGTACAACACACCAGAATCTTAGTCTTTTGTCTTTCTGCGTACAACTGACATAGGTTTTGGAATACCAGTTTAAAAAATAAATATTATTAATTAATAAGTTTGATACCTATTTTTATGATTTTTATGTATTTTGAAATTCCAGAAGGTGTACTGTTCAGTTTAACTGTGGAAGCTAAGAAAAGAGGCACTGATATTACCACAAGAAAAACTCAGAACTTTATATATTTTTTAATGAGTGCGTGCATGCGTGCATGCGGGTGTGCGGGTGAGAGAGAGAGAGAGAGAGAGAGAGAGAGAGAGAGAGAGA